CTAGTAGCTGTTTTTCCTGCTTTTTTTAGTTGCCATTAGCTTGATATACCCCCCCTTTGATCTTTAGTCTATCTTTGTCCTTATATCTGATATAACTCTTATAGATAATATAGTGATGCATCCTGTCTCCATACCCTCTTTCTTTCTTTTTTTTTTCCTGTCTCCATACTTTTTCAATCTTTATGCAGAATAGATCATCCGGGATACTGAATTTTATAAGGAGGAAGGTAGCATCAAGATTGGAGGAATATTCATCAGTAATGGCTAGAATAGTGTATAGATAAGAAACTGCAGAATTTTTTTAAAAAAGCAGGATTTAGAAGAGGCCGTGGCACCAGGGATATCATTACTGATGTTAGATGAATCCTGGCTGAAAGTAAGGAATACTTCAAGTCTATTTATGCTTCATTGACTATGCAAAGGCATTTGACTGTGTGGATCATAATAAGTTGTGGCTGACATTGAGTAGAATAGGAATCCCAGAGCACTTAATTGTGCTCATGTGGAACCTATACCTGGACCAGGATGCTCTTGTGTGAACAAAGCAGAACACTGCATGGTTTAAAATTGAGAAGGTAGTATGTCAGGATTTTATTCTTTCTCCATACCTATTCAATCTGTATGCTGAGTAAATTATCCAACAGTGAAAAGGAGTGTGGGAGGGATCAGGATCAGAGGGAGACTCATCAATAACCTTTATTATGCAGATGATACAACCTTGCTTGCTGAAAGTGGGGGACTTGAAGTACTTGTTGAAGAAGATGAATGAATGTAGCCTTCAATATGGATTGAATCTCAATGTCAAGGAAAAAAGATTCTTACCACACGACCAACCGATAGGCAGCATCATGATGGATAGAGAGGAGATTGAAATTGTCCACAGCATCTTGCTTGGATCCACAATTAACACCTTTGGTACAAGCAGTCAGGAAATAGATACATTGCACTGGGAAAATCTATAGTTAGGGATCTCTCCAAATTATTAAGGAGTAATTATATCAGTTTGAGGACTAAGGTGTGTCTGATTCAGACCATGGTCTTTCTAATCACTTGCTGTGCATCTGAGAGCAGGACAATGAATAAGGATGACAGAAAAAGAATTGATGCCTTTGAGCTGTGGTGTTGGATAAGAGTACTGAAAATCCCATGGACAAATATGTCTTGGAGAGGGTGTAGCTGGAGTACTTTTTGGAGAAAAGAATGGTGAGGCTTTGCCTCACATTCTTTCGGCATGTTGCTTGGAGGAGCTATTCCTTGGACATGATGTTGGGGAGGATGGATGGGTGGTGAAGGAGAGGAAACCCTCAACCAGGTGTTTTGACACAGTAACTGCTGCGATGTGTCAGGAATTGTGAGGATGGTGCAGAATAGAACAAGGTTCAAATCTTTAGTTCATAGGGTCACTATGAGTTGTACTCGACTCAGTGGCACCTAATAGCAACATCAAGGCAACACAACATTATTTGTCAAAACTGATTGAAGCTCAACATCAAGAAAACAAAAATCCTCACTACTGGGCCTCTGTTCTCACTATAATAGATAGAGAAGAGATTGAGATTCTTAACAATTCCCGTTTGCTTGGTTCCACAATCAACACTCTTGGCAACAGCAGTCAGGATTCAAAAGACAAATTGCATTAGGTAAATCTGCACTTAGAGACCATCCCAGAGTGCTGGTAACAATGATATCAGTCTGGAGTCCAAGGTTCACTGGTCCAGATCATGGTCTTTACAGTTACTTGCTATGTGTCAGAGAGCTGGACAGTGACCAAGGGTGATAGAAAAAGAATCAATGCCTTTGAGCTGTGGTGCTGGGGAGGCATACTGAACATACCATGGACTACCAAGAGCACAAACAAGTCTATCCTGGAGAGAGTGATACCAAGCTGCTCCTTGGAGGCAAGGATTTTGAAGCTCTGTCCCATATGTTGGGCATGTTGCCAGGAGGGAGCAGTCCTTGGAGGACATCATGCTTGGAAAGATGGAGGATTTGTTTGTTTTATTTTAGTTACTGAAGTTGAACAAAACTAATGCTTTAATTTTTATGTTGGAGTGAAACTTATAAGTGACATGTCATTAGAACACTTTTAGATTTGTTAAAAACATTTTTTTGACATTTGTATAAAATAATTTGTGATAAAGTTTCTATATTCAGGTATTCCTCAAAGAAATACGTATGTAAAGAACTAAAATGAAATTTTCTAACGATAAAGATTTTTCACTTATTTAATAATCAATTAGCATGACTGTTTAGATGTTGGGGCAGTTTATGATCTGAGTCTATAACATATAGTAACTCAGTATCCAAGTTTTATGTTATTAGGACCTTCTTGATAAAAGCTGTTTCCCCACCTCCTCAGTCTACCCATAGTCTCTTAATAACGTCTGGGTCCTGTGCTCTTTGTTCAGTCTAATGAAGATATTGCAATCACATTCATGTACTGATTGATGATGATGAATACTTCTGGTAGCAATAAAAAGGTGTCCTAAAAAAAAAGAAAGAAAAAAGAAAGATGGAGAATCAGCACAGGAGAGAAAGATCCTGGGTGAGATAGATTGACACAATAATGAGATAATAGGGTATCAGAGACAGTGAGTCTGGCTCAGGATAGGGCAGGGTTCAGAGCAGTTGTGCAGACGGCCTCTGTGGGTCGCAGGCAGCCTGATGACACAGAACAACAGCTCTTCTTCTCTGGTGCATTTAGTCCATCTACATTCAGTGTGATTATCAATAACTGTATTTCTGTTGCTGTCATTATGCTGCCTTATTTTTTGTGGTGATACTGGTGTCTTTGTTCCAAATACTTTCTGTGCTGAGGCCATTTTGGCTTTTCTTAACCACTTTCTTCATTGTTGTTCTTTTAAAAGTTTTTGAGCCTTTATTATTTTCCTCTTTCTCATTTTGATAAAAAGGTTTATCCCTTTTTTTGAGGTTACACTGTAAGTTTATTCCCAGTATGCTACTTTATTTCCAAGCCTAAAACCGTTCATTTTCTTTTGAAATTACCTTGACTTCCTCTCCGTTTAAAAGTTGTGTAACTATATTTCTTAGCCCCTTTTCTTGTACTGTAGTTTTCCTCATTTATGGGCTGAGATCTCTGACTCCCTATTGTTTGGTCTCATAAGTTTAGTCTCTTTATCTTTTGTATTTCTATATCTAGGTCATTACTGGCTCTATCATAATTGTCAGGTATTCTAATTTTTTTTGGCTTTGTGATTTTTAAAAATTATATATGTTTTATTATTATTATTAAGAATTTTATTGAAAATTTACAGAGACTGGATTTCCATTCCTTCATTGTTGCACTTTTCTCCCTGCCCCCCTTGTGCCCCCCCCCAAGCTTCTTTTTGAAAAGTAAAAGAAAATTTATTTCATTGTTATACAATCCTTCTCCCCAGGTCCACTCCACTATGCAGCTTCGTTCTGGACTCCTGTCATGGCAAGGATACCTAATCACATATCCCTTCTAAGCAGTTCTCTCCCTCATCTGTTTCAATGCTCTCTACATAATTTATCCCATCTTTCTCGGTCTCCTCCCAACCCCGATGTTGGTCCCATTTTACAACAGTGGCACTATGCAGTATTTGTCCTTTTGTGACTGAGATATTTCACTCAGTATAATATCCTCCAGGTTCCTAGGGTTTCCAGAGGCAAGCTATTATGGAAGTGGATGCCACTCCTGCTCGATGACACTTAACAACAACATAATGTCCTCCAGGGTCACCCATTTTGAATAATATTTCATGGGTTCCTTGTTTTTCAATGCAGCATAGTATTCCATTGTGTGAATATACCACAGCTTCTTTATCCATTCGTATGTTGATGGGCACTTAGGTTGTTTCCAACTCTTTGCTATTGTGAGCAAAGCCATGATAAACATGGGTATGCACACTTCCACCAACAGTGAATAAGGGTCCCTGTTTCTCCACAGCCTCGCCATCATTTGTTGCTTTCTTATTTTCTGTCATTGTTGGTTCTCAATTCAATGAACTTCTTTTTCATATGTCTTGTAAGGTACTCTAGTGTTTTAAGAAAACCTTTAATCTGTTTCTAGAAATGTCCTAGTTTCTCTTGGTGGGAAATTGTGCTGCCCATGCAAAAGCATGTGATTAGAATCCACCATCCAGTTTTTCCATGGGAGAAAGATAGGCAGTCAACTTCTGTGTCCTTTATTACCTCTGAAAACCCACTGGATGGTCAGGTTGGGTCAGTTTCCAGTAGATGATATACAACAATAACAACAATTTGAGGGACAGTTTTGCTATGTGTGTAATTCTAGGCTGACTTTTTTTTTCTTCCAAACTTTTATAGATCTACCCATTGCTTTCTTACCTTCATAGTTTCTGCTGAAAAATTAGAGCTTAGTTTTATTGATTTTTTTTTTTTATAACTCTTGTTTTTCTTGAGCTACTTTCCATATTCTTTATCAAAATTGACACCTTAGATCCTTGGTGGCATACATATGTTAAATGTTCAACTGATAACCAAATGGTGGTATGCTGTGTCCTGTCAAGTAAAGCCTGACTCATAGCTGACCCTCCGACAGATATTTAGAGGCAGTAATTTTCGCAGGAATTAATTGGAATTAAATTACCGCAGTGACTCCCCAGGAGTAAAACATGCTTCCATCAAGGTGACAACCAAGGAAACCCTGTAAGATAGTTTTTACTCTGTGACGTGGGGGTCACTGTGAATCAGAATTAACTCAGTGACACCAAAAACACCCTGGCTTTAGGATGAGGATACAGGAAAGACACTGAACTAGTGGTAGGGGAGAGAAAAGTGATCAGCAGGGACAAGAGAGGCCCCTCAGAGGGCACAAATTGCCTACAAAGAAAGAACATTATAGCTGATGTGTTATCTTGTTCTCTTGTGGGAGCTGCTGGGTCTCTATCACTCTTACAAACTCACCAGTAGTTATCTTCAACAAATCTCATGTGTCCTGCCTGGCTATAGTGATGGTTTTGCATCATTTCCTTTCTTAGGCTCACAGCATTGGAGCATGGCCATGAGCAATGGAAACAATGATTTTGGAGTTCTGAGCAATGGCCTCATCACCACCAGTGCCACCAACCTTAGTCCCCTCGTTTTCTGTGATGGAGACATTGCAGCACAGCAGATCACAGCCAAAGAAACACCGAGAACAAAAGTGAGTCCAAATGGATGCCTGCAAGTTAATGGCACAGTTAAATCATCCTTTCTGCCGCTAGACAACCAAAGAATGCCTCAGATGTTATCCCAGTGCTGCCATCCTTGCCCATTCCATCACCCTTTGACCAGCCATAACAGTCACCAAGAATGCCATTCCGAGGCTGGCCCCACAGCACCCTCTGCTTTGGCCTCGTGTTGCATGCAGCCACACTCAGAATTCTCTGCATCATTTTGTCCAAACCATTTACCTGTTTATCCGACTACGTGCTGTCTTCAGCCCTCTTCATCCTTCTGCCTGCATCACCCGTGGCCTGACCATTTTCAACATGAGCCTGTGCAACAGCACATAACCAACATGAGGTGAGTGGTCTGAGTATTAACACTAGCCTGTGGGATTCAGTTCATGCAACACAGATGTGATTGCTTATGTTCTTTTCCCCCAAAAAAGGAAGAAAACATGCTTTGGAAAGAAATTCAATGATTCATCAAATACTATTAAAATACAAATGAATAATAGTTTACCATTTTTGTCCCACTGACTTCTTAGTAAATTATGCTCTCCCTTTTCCATATCTGTAAGTTACTTAGGGGTCGAGATGTGAAGTTCACTAAAAGTTTTTATTGTTAGCAATTTCTGTTATATATGGGAGCTGTATTTGTGATAAAACTGCTAAGTAGTAAACCTTTGTTGTTTCTAGTGATCAACTTTTATGAAAAATAAACATAAAACCAGCTGGTTTTTTACTTCCTTATGAATTTGTTTAGATTATATTTTGTGGTTTAGGTGACTATATGTTGAGATAAATGTAAGCAACTATTACTTCGATAGCAAATGAAATCTATCGCAGATAACTTGAGGGGAAAATGTATATGTAGCATCCACTTCCTAAACACCGTGCCTCTGGAAACTATGAACATTGATAAATGTTAATAGTAATAGGAAGGCTTCAGGCCTTTTATACATAGTGTCACTATGAGTTGTGCTTGACTCGAAGGCAACAACAACAGATGAAACACTACTAGAAAAATCTACATCATTGTCAGTCCTTACCCCTTCTTCAGCTATATGATTTTCAAGTATTTTTACCATTAGTAAAGTAAGTGGCATGCACCACAGATAACACAGGGATAATACACTTTACAAAATAAATAAGTAGTTTGTGGAGACAAAATATTTCGCTATTTTAAGTAATAACATTTTGCAAATGAGCTAAAAAAGAGCATTCTCTTTTTAAAATTGGACTATGATTTACACTTTTTTAAAAATTTTTATTATTTGTGTGTGAATGTACCGTCAAATCAGTTCTGACTGGTACAAGAGGAGATTGTCTCTCCTTCCCCAGCAGAGCATCTGGTGGATTCGAACTGTGCGCCTCTAGGATTACAATGCAGCTTCTTGCCACTAGGCCACCAGAGCTCCCCTTATGATTTACACTTAATGTTAAAAGTACTGTTTGATCAGTTTTAACAAATGCTTCTATGTCTGTACACTTCTCTATAAGTGTAATCCATTCTTGTCAAATTGTAGAATATTTCTGTTACACAAGAAAGTTCTTTCATGTTTCTTTTCTCTTTACCAGAGCGGTCATTCTTTTAAGTACCATCATCATATATTTCTTCTGTCCACTAAAGAGTTGAGTATAAATTGGTTAAATAGTATATGTTCTGTGTCTGACACACTTAGACACCATAACATTTTTCAGACCATCTAATTATATTTGTTTTCCTTCTTGTTGCTGAGTAATATCCCATTGTATGCATGTAGCAAATTAACTTATTTTTAAAAATTTTATTATTTTGGTAAAAGCATCTCTAAAAAATATTTACCAATTCAGAATTTTTTCATATGCACAATTCAGTGCCATTGATTATGTTCATCGGGTTATGCAGTTATCACCATTATCTGTTTCCAGGTCATTCTACTACCCTTAACAGAAGCTCAGTTACCTTAAGCAGTATTTACTTGCAGAATTGTGTTGTGGGGCAAGTTACAAAGACTGAGATTGTTTCTCTTCCTAACTAGTGAGGTATCCACAGCAGCATATGTAAATTTGGACATATCTACTGTATGAGGGGGAAGACGGCAGTCAGTGTAAAATGGGCTAGGCACCATGTCCTTAGGAGGAAACTCTGAAAATGATTTATTATATATACTTTATTGCTTTTTACTAATTATCCTACCAAAATCTTTACAAATAATTACTGAAACTGATGTTCAAAAACAAAAAGTAATTCTGACTTAGAGGAAGTGCTACCAGGGTGTGCCTTACAGACAAGGATAGTGAAACTTCATCTCACATACTTCAAGGCCAGTCCTTGGAACTGACATCATGCTGAGAAAGGGTGGAGCAGGGATCACATTTGTTGTTCATAGGGTCATTATGAGTGATAGTTGACTCAATACCATCCAATGACAAAAAATAAATTTTATTTTGATATTTCAGGCTTTTGCATTTGTCAGTTCTTATCCTTATATCCAATGTTCAGCCACAAATTAACAGTATTAATTAACATATATAACAGAAACGGCAAAGGAGGTTGAGTTTTCAAGTATGGAAATACAAAGGAAGAGGAACAGTTGTAAGCAGACACTGGTGATTGGGACATGGAATGTGAGAACCATGAATGTAGGAAAATAAGATATTGTTAAGGAAGAAATAGAATGCATAAATATTGACATACTAGGCATTGGTGAGATGAGATAGACTGGTATGGGGCATTTTGAGTCAGATGACCATATGATATATTACTCTGGAAATGAAAAAGTGAGGAAAAATGGAGTTGCTTTCATACTTAAAAAAGTCATTGCTAGATCTGTCTTGAAGTACAATATTGTCAGTGACAGGATAATATCTATACGCATACAAGGAAGTCAAGTGAATACCACTATCA